TGGTAAGGTTGGCTAAGGGTCTATCAATTTTATTTATTCTTTCAAAGAATCAACTCTTCATTAATTCTTTGTATTGTTTTCATAATCTCAATCGTATTAGTTTCTGCTCTAATCTTTATAATATCCTCCCTTCTTTGGTGTTTTGGCTTGACTTGCTCTTCTTTATCTAGATGTTTGAGTTGCAGCATTAGGTTATTTACTTGTACTCCTTCCATTTTCCTGATGTGAAAATTCACTGCCATAAATTTCCTTCTGAGGGCTGCTTTCATTGTGTCCCACAGGTTCTGATAAGTTGTATTTGCAATTTCATTCAATTTTAGATATTGTATAATTTCTTCTGTGACCCATTGGTTGCTTAGGAGAGTTTTATTTTTCATGTGTTTATGGAGTTTTTGTGGCTTTTTGTCATTAGTTTCCAATTTTATTGTTTTAAGTTCAGATAATATGTATGGGATTATTTCAATTCCTTTGCATTTACTTAAAAATATTCTGTGGGCTAGTATATGGTGTATTTTAGAAAATGACCCATGTGCCATTGAGAATAATGTATATTCTGATGTCATTGGGTAGAACACTTTGTACACTTTTACTAAATCCATTTGTTCACATGTTTGTTCAGTTCTGTTATTTCTTGGTTGTTTTTTTGTCTAGTATGTCTATCTCTGTTTGACAATGGAGTGTTGAAGTCTCCTGTTAAAATTGTGTTACTGCTCATTTGGTTTTTCATGCCTATTAATATCTATTTTTCTGAGATAGTTGCATGTGCCCATATTCGGTGCATAGATATTTATGATTGTTATTTTCTTCTTAAAGTTTTCCCGACAAGTATGTAGTGACATCTTTTTATCATTCTTGATTTGAAGTTCCCATTACCTGCAAATAGAATAGCTATCCCTGCTTTTTTCTAAGTTCCTGTCACATGGAGTATTGTTTCCCATACTTTGAGTTTCAGTCTATGAATTTCCTTTTAAGTCAAATGTGTTTCTGTAACAGTATATTTTTGGATTTTGTTTCTTAATTCACACTGTCAGTCTGCTTCTTTTGATTAGTGAATTGAAATAGTTTTTGTTGATGGTTATAACTGATATATATTGATTTATCTTTGTCATGTTATCTTCCTGCTGTTGGTTCTTTTCTTTTTCTCTCTAAGTGCTTATCCTGCTAGATGACTTTCTGTTGTTGTTCATGGAATTGTGGTCATCTTTATCTCTTTCTAGAATATCTTTAAGCACTTTTCGTAGTGTTTCTTTGCTAGTCAGGAATTTTTTCCATTGTTCTTTGTCGTGGATGTATCTTATTTCTCCATTGACTTTGAAAGATAGTTTTGCAGGGTACATCAATCTGGGTTGGAAATTGTTTTCTTTCAGGACTTGAAATACTTCACTCCAAGCACTTCTTCATTTGAGGGTTTGTGTTGAGAAGCATACTGTGATTTCAATGGGCTTTCCTTTATAGGTGATCTGTTTCTTTTCTCTAATAGCTTTTAATATGTTCATGTGTTAAGTTTCTGGGATCTTGATTATTACATGTCTGAATGTAGATTTATTTTGGTATTGGTTAAATTGATTTCTATGTGACTCACTTATCTGTATGTCAGATTCTTCTCCTATGCTTGGAAAATTTTCAGCTATTAATTCTGCAAATATTTTTTATGTTATTTGTGTTGAGTCTTGCTTTTTCGTTTACACAAGTAATTCTTATATTGTTTTTCTTTACATCATCTTGCAGCTGTTGAATTGCTGTTTTCTGATTCCTTGTTATTTTTTCCAAGTCCTTTTTACTTCAAAGATAAAAAGAAAAGAAAAAGAAAAAGAAAGAAAAACTAAAACAAAATTTTATCCTTGTTATTTTTAAGAGATTTTTTCTTTCATGATCATTAGATTCCATACTATCTTCAAGGTTTGAGAGTCTATCTGCAGCTTTGTTTAAGCAGTTTTTCAATTTTTTAATGGAATTATTAATTGCCTGAATATCTCATTGATTCTTTTTTTTTGCATTCTATTTCTTTCCTATATTGTTCTTTCAAGGTTTCTATCATTTTCTTATATTCCTTTTTTAAAATCTAGATGTTCTTTAGGTATACTCAACATTTTTTTCATTATATTTGTCCTTTCTCTTTATATTTGAGAGGTTATTTTTGATCTAATCCCCTCTATAGCATCATAGAGTTCTTTTCATACTTTTGTTGCTATCATTTCAGAAATTTCAGTTGTGAAATTTCTAGTATATTTCATGCCAATGTTTCCTGGACTTGTTCTTGGTGGGTTGGAGGTCTGAGACTACATTGTGCTGTTTCATTTAGCCATTTTCCTTGGTTTCTTCAGAGGAGTTTTTTTAAGTCCAAGGCACTTCCAGTGCTGACTGTCTATCCCATGGTGTAAAGGGGTCGGCCAGGCACCTGGGTTCCTCTGAGCCAAGGTTCCCAGAGTGGTGGAAAAATGATGATTGGGGCTTCTGCCATTCCTTGGCTTCCTGGGGCTCCTTACAGATGGCAGAAGGTCTCTGGGTGAGTCTCTTCTAGACTGTACTTCTTGCTTGGGCACTCTATGGATGGCATCTGGGTACAGCATAGGGCAAGGTCAGGCTCCCTTAAGTCTTTTGAGGTTTGCTGGGATATTCCCCAATGGAGGGCATGAGTGCACTGTGCTGGGCTCAGTGGGACTTGGTTTCTCTGGAACCAGCACAGCTAACTGAGGTGCACCCCCAAAGTGTGGTGCCATGGTCTTGGCAAACTCAGACCTGTATGGACCTGTATGGCTGACTGAGGCTCACCCCTGAAGTATGGGAACTTGGGCCTTGCACTGAGATAGGTGGGTCTCCACTCTGTGTGGCTGACTGGAACATAACCCTAAAGTATGATGCCTTGCACTGGGTTTGGTAGAGCTTGGAAACTCAGGGAACCACATGGCTAGCTGAAGTGCTCCCCTGATGGATGGCTCTGGGGCTCTGGGCAAGGCAGGGCTTAGCATCTCCAGAAATTGTGTAGCTGTCCAAGCACTCACTCAGCTGACTATGCTGGGATGCTGGGGTACGCAGAGCTTGAATCATCTGGGACTTAAGTGCCTAGCCTGGGTACATCCCCAAAGCATGGCACTGGTGCCTTGTGTTGGGCTTGGTGGAGCTCAGAACTTCCTGGACTAGTGCAGCTGCCTGGGGCTCACCCAATAAGTATGGCACTGGGGTCTTGAGCTGGGCTACATGGAACTTGGCTAGTCTGGGATTAGTGAGGCTAGCTGGAGTGCACCTCCAAAGTATGGGAGTTTCACCCTTACTTTGGGCTGGGTAGAGGTCCTGGTATTCTAAATAGGTATCCATCTCCTTGAAGAAGCCAGAAAGTGACACTAACCTAATCCCCTACAAAGGCCCTTTTCTATATTCATGCCCACTTTCTACATGACTAGCTTCTCCATTCATTCCCAATTTAATCAATTTTACCTGAGCAGTTGTATTCTCAATTTTATTGGTTGGCCATAGCACTATCTCAACCAGTGCCCACGTTGTGATTTCCCATTTTTCCTCACCTTGGACTCCCTTCATCCTGTGGTTTTGCTCTACAAAAATCTCTAGAAAAGGCAGGGTCCTTGGCAATCCACTAAGGTTCTTTCCCCAATAAATATATGCTGCTCTTTAAAAAAATGAATGTATCTGGATGTTTACTATAGATTTACTTTTTTCAGGTGTTTCCTGATTGTAGATCAGAGGTGCAGGCATAGGCTTTGGTGGCTACAGTGAATATGGCTTCCTGGGAGGCAGCAATGTGTGAGTGTACGAAATAGGTGAGAAATCATATATCAAAGGATTCAGGCAATAGCCAGGAATTTATGTCAATTAGCCATGTGACCTCAGGAAGTCATTTTCCTTATGAATCTGTTTTCTCAATATATTCAGCAGTTGAGAACTCACTACGTTGCTTTTACTTTCTGATACTTTCTGATTCTCTGACTTTGTATTTTTAATATTTAATGGGTCTGATCCTTTTTGATGACAAGATGGCTTTTTATTCTTTTTGTTCCAATTCTGGTATAGTTTGACATTTTACTTTCCTGCAAATGGAAGATAATGAAAGAAGGTGGAGCGGTCACTGTGTTCTCTGCTTGGCTATGTTTTTGAAGATTTAGTTGACCTATTCATACTACTGCCTTCCTTTGACAGTGCAGGGTAAACTTTTTTGAATGTGATGAGAGTGCAAGTATTAGAAACTGGAAGATCTGAGTTATGCCTGATGGCCATAAATTATGAAAATTTAATTAAAAGTTAATCTTTTAATAACTTAAACTTCGTTGAATGCTTTTTCTTGTTTGTATTAAAAATGCAGGTTTATTTAGTGAAAATCAGAGATACAAATCACCTGGGGACTATGCAAATACAGTGATTGATGGAAATTTTATGCTAAGGTACTGTGCTTGTTTAACTTTACACAATTTGAACTGTGCATTGTAAACAAGAGATAATATATTTAATATGTTACAGTGTTTTAAAACATATTCCATGTTTTGGTGTAGTACCTACAAGCCATTTTTACATTTAGTTGTTGATATTTGTGGTCTTTATGTATAACCTTGTATTCTGAATTCTATGTGTAAGAAGCATGGTAATTTTGGGTGAATCTCATCTCAGTCTGTAGATAATAATTTGACCACCTGTTTTCAGAGCAGTAGGGAAAAATCAAGTAGATATAAATGAGCTTTGAAAATTCATACATATCTGCAAAAATTATTGCAATCCGGCTCTGGAAACATAATTGGCTTTTGGAAATACGCCAAAGAAACTCTGGAGAATTTTGGCATTAAGTCAAGTAAGGAAATATTTTCTTGGTCTCTCAGAGTCTGTTTGATCATTTTAGTTCTGCATATTGTTAGTTGGCAAAGCTCCTTCCATCTGGTCCTTATCACTTTGCTTGTTTTGTGGGGTCATAAGAGTAAATTTTAAGCAGTTTAATTCTAAAGAAAACAGATAATGGCCCGTGTAACTGTCTTTCAATAGTGAAATAAGCAACTTACTCTAGTTCCCTTTTCAGGAGAGCATTTACATCCTTGACTGCAGTCTTGGGCCCCACAGGGTTTTCCATAAGACTCCTCTCCCTATTAAAAGAAAAAAGAAAAAAAGATCATGCAAACCAAGAAACAATGTTGCCCCAAGGAATGCTTAGTCACACCCCTCTTAACCAAGTAAATTTAAAATGGACTAATGTATTTCACCTGATGGTGTCACTATTTAAAGTTGAAAATCCATTTTAAGATACCCTCCCATGTAGAAACTTATTAAATAGTCAGTTTGGTAGCTGGTTTGGGAACTATGATAAAGATACTGCCTTGTTGGTAGAAATCCCAGTCACAAAATGCAAGAGAATTCCTTTGCATGAGGTTGCTGTGAAAGCAGATGTTTAGTAACTCACAGATTTGCACTTGTTGAGAAAGTATTAGCTGTAGCAGAGAATTTGGGAAAAATTCAAATGCTAGACATGTAGTAACAGATGAAAATGGTCACTCTATACTCTGCTTTCATCGTCTCAGGTTACATTTTCAGCACACAATTCAAATCTCACAGTGACACCTCCCTGTTCAATTTGTCAGATTCAAATTCCTCAAGTGCTATTGTAAATAATCCCCAAATTCTCCAACTTTATTTTCCTTCCCTGTAATTTATAATGATGATAATTACTAGCTGAATTTCTACAAGGCCCTCACATGACCTGATGTCCTTCTCCTAGTTTTTTGGCTATTTATTCTAATTCTATTTTTTTTTTTTTTTTTTGGTATCAGGGATTGAACTCACAACCTTGTGCTTGCCAGGCAGGTGCTTTGCTGCTGAGCTGTATCCCCAGCCCCTTGTTTGTTTTATTGCTGGCCTCTTTTCATCATCCAGGCCTTGGTTTTATTCTCCATTTTCTGGCCATTCCTGATGATCCAGTCTCAGGTAATTGCTTCCAATCATATATTCTTTTTGTTTTCATCATTAGACATCTTCTCTTCCCCACTTGCATGTAATCTCTGTTTAAGTAGAGACTATTTATCTTGTCCAATATTATATCACAAAGGCTTGTACAGTGGGTGATACCAAGTAATATTTGATGATCTAAGAAATGGACTTACAATTAGAACCCAGGTCTGACTAACTCTAAAGAATTGACCTTAAAACCTTTATGTCTTGGTGCTTTTAAAAAGTACTCTCTCTAGAGCCTCTCTACAAAGATCTCAAAACTGAGGTAACTGCTATTATGATGTTATCCACCTTGGGAAAAAACATATATTTTGATTAATACCTGTATGACGAACTTTATATCTGGGATAAGATTCAGCATCACCCAGTATTTTGTTTATTTTTTGCTGTTTTTTTCCAATAAGGAAAGTATATTTATAAGCTAGCCACAAAATCTTTCTTGTCTCTTTATACTGTGTCTTTTGCTAATTCCAAGGCAGCATTGTGAATTTTTCAGGCGGTCTCTTATCTCTTCAGACATTTCTATAATACTTTATAACCCCAAATCTTGGTAATAAGGTAGCGATTACAAAGCTAGGGAAAAATATTGCTATTTTAGATTCCAAACACCTTCCAGATATGAGATATTTTATCTCTTATATACCTTTGATATGCTAAGCACTACCACACATTTTATAATTTGTCCTTCATTTTACAGTATGTAGGACAGGGAAGTTTTTCATAAGAGTGAGATCAAGAGGTTCTCTGGGAGGAGAATGTTGCAGACTGGCACAGAATAGACAACAGAGAGAGAAACACTGAATTTAACTTTCACCTTTGCAGTTATATTGTCTAATATTTGGCTAATGGGATTATGGGTCATTTATATTTTCTTCTCTGTACTCTATTTTATAAGCAGTGTTCAACAAGCATGTATAATTAGTGAGAAGAAAAAAATGTGCATGTTATTAAATGATAAAAGGCAACACATTCAGGTGAGAGGACTCAGTAGGTGTTGTCAAAGTTAAACTAGAATTTATGTGAAACTATAGCCCACTTTCAAACAATATCTGCTTGGGGATTCACTAAAATTCGTATGTGAAAAATAGTTAAGCAGGATTACAGGAAAAGAAATTGGTACGATGGACCAGACGTTTCCAGATCTTTAGTATGTGGCAAGGAGGCTGGAGACAAGGGTTCTGAATAAAACAGGGGCAAATTCCAATGACAGTAGCTGAACAAAAGCATAAGAAGCAGAAACTAAAGTCTCAAGAACAAAGAGGCATATAGCTTCCAGTTAACAGACAGGAAGCTACCACTGTCCTATTACTAAGGAAAGTAACCAGAGAAGCTCCATTGGCCACAGGCAATTTCCTGTAATGCCAGCACTGGCAATTTCCCCAGGAGTCTTCAGTTACACAGAGGTGAGCAGGGTGAAAGTTGTGTTAAGGTAACACGGCCACACCAGGACCTGAGGGAAACCTATGCTGTATTCTGACTTGTCTCGGGGATACTGCGACCCCTACCTACTGAAGCAGGCCAGTTCACTAGAGTCATTCCCACCTTAGAACATTTTCTCCTTCTTTTCAAAATTCATCCCTCTTTACACAGATAGAAAGTTTAGCTAAAAAGACTGTGGAAAATCATCTAAATGTGATTCTTGATTCTGTCAGACCAGCTTATAATTTTTACAATAATACTTAACTTTTCCTGCCATACTGAAAAGAAATTTATAGAACTAAGAATATTATGACCTAATTATAAACAAAAGGATAGTTATTTATAATGAAATAGTATCTATTGAAATAATATTTAAAAGCTCATCCATGGCTGTAGTACAAGATGCAGTTGCCAAGTTTAGTGGTGCATGCTTGTAATCTCAGCTACACAAGAGATTCAGACAGGATAATCACAAATTCAAGCCCAGCCTGCACAATTTACTGACACAGTCTCAAAATAAAATGAGTGAAGGTTTATCTCAGGATTTATCTGGATTCAATCTCTAGTACCACCAAAATAATAATTTTTTTAAAAAGATCTTATGAAGTAGTCAGAGACTGGAAGGTCTGTGCAGAATCATCATGAAATGACAGTGTACTTGTACAGAATGGACACTGCTGGGTTGTGATATTGGTGACTCAAGTATAAGAAGTGTAGCTACTATTAGTTCAATGATTCTCTGAGTGATAATTAACTTATGATAACATTCTAGTGGTAGAAATAACAATCTTCCACTTTTTTACTGGGTACACTTTATCGGGAACAATAAAACCAGGAAAAATTAATTTCAATATGTAGAAGTGATTATTTTCTATACTCAGATAAAATTATAAACAGAGTTTTCATGTCCAAGAATGGGGATGAAACATAATTCTTTACAGTACACAGAACTGCAATTCAAAGCTGTAGATAATTGAATGTTCATCCTGACAACCAAATATGGTCTCATAATTTCTAAAATATCACCTGAGTTAGGGTACTTCTATTAAGAACCACAGTCTAAACCAAAACATTTATTTTTACAGATGAGAACACAAGGAAATTACTTTGTCCTGGGGCACACTGATGGCACATGGAGCAGAGTACTTCTGACAGTGATGGCATATTATTCCCATTATTCCATTTGTCTCAAGTCCAAGTTAAAGTTAGATTTCTTTTTTTGTTTTTTATCGGTACCGGGGATCGAACTCACGACCGCCTGCTTGCAAGGCAGGTGCTTATGCCGCTGAACTAAATCCCCAGCCCTTAAAGTTAGACTTCTTCCATGATCACACCAGCTTCAGTGAAAAGCTATAACTTCATTAAATGTTGCACTCATTGGATAAGCATTGCATGTTGCTATGGAACAGTCTTTATAACGTTCCTTTGGTTGTACTGTTCAGAGCCTTGTTTCCTCATCCCAACAGTAATATCTGTGTGGGAAAGTCAACCTAGTTTATCTTTTTGCATATCTCCACAGTGTTAAACAAACAGACCCATGTTCTGCCCACTACCTGAGACTATATACTTTATTTAAAATCATAAGTCGTGGAGTCAGTTCACACAGGTTTAAATCCAGTCTCCAATGTTTCTATCTGAGTGGTCTTAAACAAGTTACTTTATCTCTCTTATATCTAATTTTCCTATCTGTGAAGTGCAGATGAGAACATCTACACTACAGGATTTGATTGGGGGCCTCAAAAACATAAAGTATACAAAGCACTATGACAGTTGAGGCAATGCTAGCTACTATTACTACATCAGCTATGTCAGATTACTCAGCATTCTGCATCACTTTTGTCTCTCTTTGGAGCTAATTATCCAGTGGTATACACTGGGTATTGCCCTGACAGTCAGCCTATAGCTGATACTTACTCTTCTTGGACAGGATGTCTGTTTGATGTACTGGTGCCTGTATATGAAGTATTTTAATATAATTTCTATCTCATACATCTATCCTTTTGCTGGCACTAGTTATTTTGTGTAAAATGTATTCCTAAACCCTTTCCAATTTACCATAAACCAAATTTCTAAAGAAAAGTGAGGGGGGCAAGGGAGTCAAGGATATAAGAAAATAAGTACTTACAGGGATGGGCCATGGGATCTAGACTTCCTAAGAAGAGAAATGAGAACAGGTAGTGCCTAAGGGGGACTAAAAAAACAATAGGCTTACTGGATGATTGATCATAGTGGAATAGAAAAACTGGATGAGGTTTAGGGCTGTGACTGTGTTTCGGAAGAAAGAAGGGGTAGTACTGCCAAAAGGCTAGGAAATGTTAACACTCTATACAATGTAAAACCAGATAATCTTGGAATAAAGCAAATAATTCTTGAAGTAACCCAGAAAAAAGGTTACTGAAATGGCTGCCTAACTCTGGTTTCCTATAATATAATAAAACAATTTTGTCCTAATAACTTTAAAATTCCTCAAAACACATTTCACACCAAATCTCATTGACTATTTCACCACTAATATGAGACTGATATGTAGATATAGGTGTATGCATCCACAATATTAAAATTATTAATTTATAATTTTGCCTACATCCTAAATATTAAACTACTTTGAGATGAAGTTCTTGGTTTGGTGAATCATAAGACAAATCAATTTAAATCTTCTAAGCTTCAGTTTTGCAAACTACATAAAAGGAATAATATTGTGCTTCTCAGGATTTTGTGAGTT